CCGTTCTTCTGCCTGTGCTTTTCTGCCTTTAGATCAGAAGCCCAAAGAGAGGCGTGAGTCAGCAGTAAAGGTCTCCCAGCAGCAGCCCAGCACTCCCAGTGCTCCCAGCACCCTGGCCCGGATTGGCGCCTTGGTTAGCACCGTCTCCCACCGTGCTTACCAGCAAACCACCCACAGCCTCCAGCGTGCCAAAGCCAAAGGGCAGGAGCTGGCCACCTGGATCCCCATCCTGGTGAGTGCCAAAACCCACACACCAGGTTCCTGCTCCCCCACACCCTCTTTTGGGCTGATTCTGCTTTTGGATGAGACATTTCAGGCTCCTTGGAGCACATCCGAGAGCAGAGTGGTGGGCGCTGCTGGTTCCCCCGCTCAGTGGGGTTCCCATGGCACATTCACACACAACCTTGTACCGTGTTAGCAGGATGAGTTATTTTTAGCTGGCTCCCAATGTATATTGTTGATTTATGGCCTTGCCATAACATCCTCCCTCAAGCAAAACGCCCCCCCAGAGGCTGGGGAAGAGGAGGTCCCTCTCCTCTCCTACCCAGCGCCGCGGTGGGAGCCCCTTCCCTGGCCTGTGCCAAAATCCCAGAGCTTTCATGAAATCCCAGAGTTCATCCCACATGCATAAATGAACCCCTCTGCTCCCTGCACACCCCAGGGCCCCCTGAAATCCTCAGGCTAAGCAGGATGGGGTGGAAGGTGCCTTTCTGCTCCCCTTCCAGGGCAACCTGGCCAAGCCAAGTGCACCTGAGGTGCCGCAGGTCCACGGTGATGGGCAGAGCACCACAGCCGGCTGGCTGAGCCGGCGGCAGAGCAAGGTGCCGGAGCAGAAGCAGGAGAAGGCAGGGAAGAAAGACAGCAACGACAGCAAGGAGGTATGGAGAAAAGCTGGGCAGTGAGCTGGGAGCGCCCCAAAGCATTGTCCTGCCCATGGACCATGCCAGCATGGGGGATGTTCCCCCCATGCCCTTGGGGACCAGGCCCCCATCCCTGCTGATTTTTCTGAGCTGCAGCTTGGAGGAGGCGATGGGGGGGTTGGCAGCAGGGCAGTCCCCTTCCCTGACTCCCCAAAGCTGGGGGCAGCCCCTGCACCAGGCAGGATCATCCTGGCTTGTCTATTCAAGACTCCTTTGCTGCTGTGGGGTGTCAGCAGCGAGCACCCACTGAACCCCTGAACACCCCCAAAAAATCCCCCCGCCATGGTCACAGCAGCAAGGGTCGCTGTGAGCCAGCGGGGCTGGGAACGGTCCCCAGCAGCGGCTCCGCTGGGACACGGGGACGGGAAGCAGCAGGTCGGGGTTGCTGCCCTTCGCCTCTGCCTGCAGCGGAAGCGCAGCCCGGGGCAGGGGGTCCCCGGGGGCCTGGGAGCGGGGGGAGCGGCAGGGGGACAGAGAGCGACCCTGGTGCAAAGGGCTGCGGTGGTTTTTGCAAAGCAGCAAGCAGAAAGCATTCAGGCTTTGAGCTGCAGAGTGGATGGGGAGCCCAGGGCCACCCCTGTCCTGCCCGGAGGGGCTGGAGGGGCCAGGGCCAGCGGCTGAGCGGCTGAGCTGATTTCTCTCGGCAGGCAGGGGACAGCCCCGGGCTGGTGGGCAGCATGGCTCACAACCTGCAAACCGCCTGCGCCTCCGGCATCTCCAGTGTGAAGAAGGTCCCGGCCGTGGCCTGGGACGCAGCAGAGGGGTTGATCCTCTTCACCCCCCGCAGGCTGTCCAAGGCCATGGAGACAGTGGATGCTCTTGGGGGGACCCTCGTCAGTGCCCCCAAGCATCTGCTGGGCACCCTGTACAGCTACGTGCCGGTGAGTTTGTCCCCAGCCAGGTCCCGTCCATCTCCAGCAAACCCCATTTTGCCCAGCCTCCTCCCATGAGCACCCCATAGCGCCAGGCAGTGCCAGGAGGTACCAGAGCAGGGAAATGGGGTGCTGTTGGGGCACCTCAGTCCCACCCTTCTCCTGAGCATCCCCCAAGCTGTGACAGCAAGTCCCGCCTGTAGAGCTGGCAAGTCAGCCGGTGGTGGCGCCTTCACACGGTTCATGGTCAAGCCAGGGTGTGACCATAAATTCCTGGGAAGGTGAAAGTCCAGACTGAGACCGTGTCCCCTCTCCTTCCCCCCATCCCACTGCTCCCCTGGGACCATTTCTCCACCACAGCTGCTCAGGGGCTGCAGCCGCCCACTCCCCTCCGCTGGGGACCCTCTGGGGGCAAAGCGGCCTGTCCTGAGGATCCCCCCGGTTTTGGGGTGGGTATGTCGCAGAGGGAGAGTGGAGCTGACAAGTGGGTGCAGCCCAGCCGGGAGCTCACCCCATCTCTCAGCTCCGCAGGCAGTCAGCGAAGGAAGAGGATGCGTCCGGCGGCAGCAAGCCCAGCCCGGAGACGGAGCAGAAGGAGGAGGACGCCAAGCCTGCCACCCCCTCTGCAGAGGACAAATCCCAGCTGAGGGGCGACTGGCGGCTGTACCGCGGCCATCACCCCCTCTCCTTCCTGGGGCTCGAGGACCCCCTCTTCCTGCGGCACAACCTCTACCGCAGCCCTGCCTTCGAGCCCGAGTGCCCCCTCCCGCGGAAATCCGCCTTCGCCCCCTACAACAGGCGGGTGAGCGAGGGCTCCTACCGCTTCAGCCCCGAGGCCATGTACAGCCGGGCTTACTACACCAACCTCTACAGCCCTACCTTCAAGAAGGACTGAGTCGGCGGGGAGGATGAGTGCATCCCAGCTCCCCTCTAATCGCCCCTAGCACGCTTTGCCCAGGACCCTGCCAGCCGCCTGCACGCACCCCTGTACCGGGACAAGAGCTCAAAGTGGTAGACATGCCATGGGATGTCTTCTCCTGGAGTGCCTCGGGGCCAGGATGGGGGAATAAAGGCAGCCAAAAATTCTGTTTGTGGAAGGAGAAGGTAGGGGGAGGTGGGACCAGAGGGGACCAGAGAAGGAGATGCAGGAAGAGCAGTGAGACCAGAAAATAGAAAAAGGGACCAGCCAGGCCTGGCACTGGGCCACTCTGGTCCCTGTTGAGCAGGTAGCATGGACTTAGATGGGCTACACATTGAGAACAGTGCTGAGGCAGAGCAGGAAGGACAGCATAGCCATCAAACATTACCATAGCAAGCCTGGTTCCCCATCCTTCTCCCTCTGTCCCACCTCGCAGGGCCCATCCCTGGCCACAGGTTGCTCCTCCATGGAGAAGCCGAAGGTCCCCACCGACCAGCAGGACTCATGAGTTGGAAAGCCCTGGGCACCCACCCCCAGCTGATGGTGGGATGGATGGTGGGGTCAGGAAGAAGACCGGTGAGAACAGGTGAAGCTCCTGGAGCCCCTCTCTGCCGCAGGACCGCCTGGCTTCCCGCAACACCTTGTTGTATCCACTGCAATAATAAACCTTCGCAACCTGCCGCTCGCCCCATCTGCTTGGCTGCTTTATGGGAGCGAGCCACCAAAATGAGGGAGCAGAGTGGGGCAAGACACTCAACCCAGGGCCGAGGGAGCCAGTATGGGAAACTCATCCCTGGATTGCTGCCGCAGGGACAGCGGGGGCTCATGCCCAGCACAGTATGTGTCTCTTCCCAGGCTCCGAGTACAAATTCACAGCCGCAAGGAGCTGGGGGCTTCCTGCCAAAGATGATTTATTGCATTTCCAGAACAGAGCAGAGAAATCACTGTCTGTACTGCACACACAAACGCAACACACTGCTTTCCCAGCTCCCAGGGAAAATCCTCCCGGCAGTGGAAGGGTTCAGCGATGAGCCCGGCGACCCCTTTCCCCACCTCCCTCCCTCCCCGGGGACAGGCAGCCTTACAGAAGGAGCGGCTTGGGAAGGCGTAGGGTACGATTCCCCATCCTGGGAACGAGCCGCATGCCTGGTTTTTCCCAGGCACAGCCCGTACAGCGCTTGCACAAGGGAAACTGCAACAGTCACTGAAAGGCTGTAGGAGAGAGGACCACGAGCAGGACAGTTCAAAAGCAAGGCGGGTGGGATGGGGACTGAACCGAGGTCCTCGGGCATCAGCTGGTGCCGCAGGCTCTGGGACACTCGGACATGGTGATGCACACATGGGAACTGCCAGTGGCTCCCGGGTGCAGAAACCCCCACATTGCCAGCTCACGGGTGCTCCAGGGTTACCAGAGAGGACCCTGATGAGCATTAAACAGGAATAAGGATCCCATGTAGGAGGGGGTGACACTGAGCTGGGTGGCCATGCAGAAGCAGCGTGTCCTCCCTGCTCACTGACAGCCCGGGCAGCTCCCGCTGAAGGAGCTGGGGATGATGCTGCCTGGAGCAGCGGCAAGATCATCTGGTGGCTTCCAGCATTGGAGGATGGAAGGAGAAAGCAGGATGCATCTAAACATCTGGTACAGCAATGAGTAGGGACTTTGCCCCACCACCTGTCCCACCACAGAGCCAAGAGCTCTACAGGAGGGCGCAGAGGAAGGCACTACAGTCCTCAGCTGCACTGGCCATGTATGGCAGGAGACCCAGACCCTGAGGTTAGGAAGGCAGCAAGGAACCCACCATACTTACAGAAGCGCACACCATCTCCATGGGCACCCAGGGAGGAGGCTCAGTCCAGCTGGGCAGCGTAGAGAGAAGCAACACCCAGGCTATATCTCAGAGGGAATCCGTTCGCTTACGGGCGAACACAGCCGACATGGTCTTGACGATGCCACGGATCCCTGTACCCTTTTTCAGTGCTAGTTTGGTGTCAGGGATGCGCTCGGCCAGTCCATGGAAGACCATGAGGGCCCCATGATAAGCCTCAGCTGCAGAGACCTCATAGAAACCACAGTCTAAAGAGAGGGCCAGGAGCCGACCCTCCTCGCTGGACACCACCCGTTGGTGGTGTAGGTCGCGTTTATTGCCCACAATGACGATGGGCACCTTCTCCTGGCTCTGCCCCTCCTTGGCCGCCTTGATGAACTGGATTTTGAGGGGCAGGATGTTGAAGCTGGCACGGTCGCAGATGCTGTAGACCAGGACAAAGCTGTCTGCCCACTGGATTCGCTTCTCCTCCGAGGAGCCCTCCTCTGCCTGCTCCTGGGGAAAGAGAAAAGGAAGGTTTCTTTACCCAGCTCCCTCCCTCCATGCCTGCCTGCTAGCACAGGGCACAGCAATCCTGAGCCCATCAGGACTAGAGCGGCTAGCGAGCAGCAGCAGAAGGACAGAGAGAAAGAGGAGTACTGAGGAAGGCAGAGCAGGACTTGGCGGACCTCACCAAAGGGACACCATTTGGGCTTCAGCATCACTGTCCTCACCTCATCACCCAGCTGGCAAGCACTGCAGCCTGTAGGTGATAACAGCGTGGGGACCTCAGAGCGGCACTTCCACTTTGTCAGCACAGTCCTGTGCTCAATCCGGGCTGATAACGTTAGCACTTCAGCCCCAACATCCTCAGTCAGAGGACCACGGGCTACGGTGACTATTGCTACCCTGCCAGCAACGCTGCTGCCCTGTGCTCTGCAGGCAAGGGTTTAGTTGCTTACAAACCATCTGACACGAGAGTTTTGCCTATGGCACGGTTCTCCGCTGTGTAACTTTTAGTAGAGGTTTTTTTCCTCCATGGGGTGAAAACAGGCGATGGGAGAGGAGCCCTCTCACCTGGGAACTGGGGACATCCCAGATGTGGAAGAGAATCTCCCGGCCATCCACGGTCAGGTTGTGGCTGTAGATGAATTCTGCCAAAAAATGAGAACAAAAATGGTCATCTTCACAGACCCAAGAGACGGCTCCTTCAACCCAGGTCTTCTCCTTCTGGGAACAAGCCTGTCATGTCCACCGTGGAAGACCATGCTCCACAAGGCAAGGTCCAGGGGCAATTTTCTGATAGCAACAACCCCGTGGAGCACGGTGGTCTCCAGGGCTGTGACCACCCCAGCCTGCCTCCACCCCAGCGTTCAGTCTGGTCACACTGGTGCTACCAGCTACCACCCAGGACCTTTTGCACCCCAGAGAAGCAGTTCTGGAGCAAAGAGATGGGTCACTGAACAAATACAACCATCGAGCCCCCCAGGAGCAGGCGAAGGCTCCGGAGAAAGGCAGGAGAGGATGGGAAGCAATGAAATCCCGCGGGCAGAAGCAGGCTCGCCTGCTGACCCCAGTCCCTGCCTGGCCCTGGCCTGGCACTCACCCATGTCTCCGTACTCCCCGATGAAGCGCCGGGTGAGGAAACGCACAGTCAGAGCTGCAGAGGGGAGAATAAGAATCATCAGAATAACCCTAAACCTGAAGGATTTTCCCTTTTAAATGCAGAGCAGAGTCAGGCACCATCCCCCTATAAACTCCCACTAGCAGGAAAAACCTCTGGTTTTCCAGCCCTCGGCAGGTCTGCGAGCAGAGCAGAGGCACAGCACGAACCAGACCATCAGCAAACCACAGCTCAGAGGAAAATACCTTCCCCCGTCGCTCACCCGCTGCCTGCAAGGCTGTGCTCAGCCTCCCCACCTCCAATCACCACCGCACCTGAAAGCTCAGCCCCAGCTCACCAGCTTGCTCCCCAGAGTTGGTCTCTGCAGTTTGTTCTCCAAACACTGCTGCGGTTTTCAGCCTTTTTCTGGGGGGAGAAATGGGTCTCCCTGCCTGGGGACGCCCTGCTCCCAGCTCACGGTCGGTTCTTACCTGATTTCCCCACGTTGTCCGCTCCCATAACGAGGACATTTGCTTCCATCTTCAGGGCGGTGGGGCCAGGCATCTCCGCGAGGGCAGGGTGGTCGGGGGTGAAGCTGGCGCTCCGACGCAGTGGGAGCCGGAGCCCCATGCCGAGCACGGCTGTGCCTCGTCGGCGGTCCCAGCGGCGTCTGCGACTCCTCTCCACGCAGCCGAGGAGCCAGCGCTTCCCACGGCACCCAGGGGACCCGCGAGGGCCATACCCCTCCCCGCAGCTGCAGGGGCGGTGCAGCGGGAGCTGCAGGCGGGCAGATGAAAAACTTTGTTATCGCTCAGATAGTCCCGAGGGTACGGCAGCGCCCAGAGCCAGCCCTGCCATCCCCCGGTGCGGCAGGCGGCCGGCAGGCACCGGCTGTCTGCACCAGCTGCTCCGCAAACTGCATCCCAGGAGGCTGCCCACGCCTGCACCTCAAGCACGTTGTCCCTTGGCAGGGCTACGTAGTTCCTTGTCCCTTCCCCACGGTGATCGTGGGAATGCCTGCGAGGAGCAGTGGAGCATCTCACACGTGATGGAGCATCTTACGAGTGATGGAGCGTTGTCTCATGAGGGATGGAGCAAGTCACGAGTGATGAAACATTGTCTCACAAGAGGTGGGGTGTCTCATGAGTGGTGGAGCGTTGTTTCCCGGGTGGTGGAGCATCTCACGAGTGGCGGAGCATTGTCTCACGAGTGATGGAGCGAGTCACAAGTGATGAAGCGTTGTCTCACAAGTGGTGCAGCATCTCACAAGTGGTGGAGTGTTGTCTCATGAGTGGTGGAGTGTGTTACAAGTGATAAAGCGTTGTCTCACAAGTGGTGGAATGTTGTTTCATGATCGGTGCGGCATCTCACAAGCGGTGCAGCGTCTCATGAGTGATGGAGCATTGTCTCGTGAGTGACGGAGTGTGTTACGAGTGATGGAGCGTGTTACGAGTGATGGAGCGTTGTCTCACAAGTGGTGGAGCATCTCACGAGTGACGGAACATTGTCTACCGAGTGACAGAGCGTTGTCTCACGAGTACGGAGCATCTCACGAGAGACGGAGTGTC